TTGTGAGTTGCAGGTTGATATGGCTGCTGGCCACCACTCATAATCCTGTTTGTCAGTTTTTAGCGGCGTGCAGTGGCTGACATACTCGTGGTCACTTCATTTCTAAACGAAACACAATAGTTTTCCACTGAGAAGTGGCTAAAACTTTTCCTTTCTACCGCATGTAGGACTCTGCCTAGCCTGCAGCCTGCGCTTCATGCACTGATGCAGCGTGCTCACGTAATTCTTATGTGGCTTACCGCTTCTTTCCGCAATGCGAACAGGCCGCTGAAACAACATGTTGGAGGACAAATGCAGCATGCAGGGAAGTTTGCATAGTTTGGCATTCGCCTAGGAAATGCTGCCAACGGCCCTGTTTCCAAGTCGAACCACTGATCCACAGCCGTTCAGTGACACCACTGGTCTCAGGTCCCGCACACTTGTAGGATGGTGTACATTGAAGCTGGTGGTCTTCTGGAGATCTGTTATTGCTACAGCTTACGGCTTTTGCAGATTTGTCAAGATGCTTTGCGTCTAAATGAAGAAATGGGGGAAAAAAGCACATTTAATGTGTGTATCAAGAGGAATTTGGACTCCAAAATAACAAAAAAATACACCTGTTCTGGAACCTCAGAGCACCCACCCTGCCTCGCTTGATAGAGTAGGGTTTCTGGGAAGGAAATATCAAGAAGAGTCATTTCTTCTGCACTGTGGACCCTCTGTCAGTGGGATTCAAAAACATAATTTTTGCAAAGCAAATAGTCCAGAGTGGAGAAAGTGGAAGATAAAATAGACTAATTGTTGGAATGTTGACACCTGTTGTCATGCTAACCAGAATTTAACCTGCTGCTGATTTCAGTTCCACATCCGATCTCTCCGAATCAAAGGAAGCAGTAAAGAGTCTTCTTCGAGAGCCCGCGGCAGTGGGGACACTTGCCACTCGAAATCTTTTAACCAGGCAAGAACCCCATCTTTTCTGCCCGGAATGGGCACACCACCATAAAGCGGCGAAGAGAATTATGGGAAAATGAGAAGCAGCGGGTGATGTTTATTTTTTTTATCACAACACAGAGAGACTCCACTTTCAGTACTTAAGAAGCAGAAAAGAATAACATCAGGCATTGAAGCCGACACAATGGCCTTAACCATAATGGACCCATGTGGGAGAGTGAGAACAAAGTCTGCAGCCGTTCGAAATATGCTGAGGAAGATTGAGGATTAAATTGAATCAACATCTGTTTTTGTTTGTGTTTTAAGTAGTGTGACAACTGCTCTGACCAAGTGTAAGGGAACCACAGCTCTTTTAGCACGGGCCACTAACCTTTAGGTCTTTTGAATGCATTAAACAACTGCAGTGAGTCTTAAGTGGTTAATTGACTCAGATGCTGACCATCACTTTAATTATTAAGGGCTGCAGGCCTATAGGCTGCAGGAAAGGTTAGTGGTTAATAAGATCGGCAGCGCATATCCTTTGTTTATTTGACTCTCTTAAGAAATTTTCATACATATCAGTATGATATACGGATTCTTCCTTTCTTTCTTTGTGTATTTGTAGCGTTAAATACATATTCTCTACAAAGAACTAGTATTCCCAAAACCCTACATGGATTAACCAGATGAACTGCCATTGTCTTTGCTCTTTTCCTTGTGTCTTAACACTGAACCGAAGTTACACAGCACAAGTAGTGTTTAAAAGACACCGGAGTTTCAGAGCATGCAAAACATGGAATTTAATTTTGTGTTCTAATTATGAAGTAATGTAGCAGAATATTAGTAGTAACATAGTTAGTAGTAGTAAAATAAGAGGGAGGATTTTGGACCAGTTTGCTAGATGCTTTTTGTCTTTATAAAAGCACTTATTACAATATTTCATTTTGGGCACCGGCAAGGAGTGGATTTAAACATATATTTTAGACCCAGCAATTAGTTAAAATGGATGAAAAAATGCACTATTCCATTCACTAATCCAAATAGTTGAACAGTGTATCTTTAAGATTACTGTCAAGAAATACTCAAGAGTTTCATTTCTTCAGTAGGGGCCTTGTATACAAATGTCATATGAATGCCCACTCAGATGAACTGCTGCCTGCATCTGGTTTGTGAAAGCCAATAATTCAATTGAAGTGGCAAACTGAAAACAGTAAAGCCTCGTGTGTGGTTAAATGGTTCCTAAAAAAGACCACTTGGTTCTTAAAAGGCAACGGTTTAACATTGTAAAATGAGATGTCATAAAAAATAAGAACATGAAGTTGAGTTTTCTTGATGACTGTTATTAAATCCTGATCTAAAGTCTTTTTTTGTCTCCAACTGCTGTTCTGTTGTGTGCTCACAGATATATAGTAGAGAGTGAAGGCAGAACACAAACAAAATGAGAAAAATTGATTTATTGGATTGGTATAATCCCCTCCACCCTACTAAAAAGTACATTTAACTAAAAAAAATAGATTGCCCTTTATTTCTAGTATTGTCAGGGAATGTGACTGCCAAGCTGTGTATATTTACAAAAATTGGAAGAAGGGTATATGTACCTGAATGTGGTTCAGAGGCCCTGTATCCAGCAGTCCTAGCGTGGTAGGTTTGCTTCAGTTAGTCAATGCAGTACCTCATGCTGTGCTGTAGTCATCTGACTGCTCATACAGGGATTCTCCTGCTGCTGTTGCTTATCTTACACATGTAAAGTGACTGAGTATTG